CGTATGGTTTTCGCGTTGTGTTCGCATGGTTTTCGTATGGTAGTCGTATGGTGTCCGTCTTGTTTTCGCATGGTAATCTTATGGTGTTCGTAAGGTTTCTCGCATGGTAATCGGGTGGTGTTCGTGCGATTTTCGAATGGTAGTCTGATGGTTTTCGTATGGTAACCGTATGGTTTTCGTAGGGTAATCGTCTGGTTGTCGCATGGTACTCGGATGGTTTTCGTATGGGTGTCGTGTGGTAACCTCGTATGGTTTTTCGTATTGCTTTTGCGTGGTAGCCTTTTATGGCTTTCGCATGGTTTGCGAATGGTGAGCTTCTGGTTTTCGTCTGGTGCTCTTATGGTTTGCGCATGACAGTCGTATGGTTTTCGCATGGTAGCCGTATGTTTTTTTTTTTTTTTTTTTTTTTTTTTTTTTTTTTTTTTTTTTTTTTTTTTGTTGTTTTTCCCCCCCCAAATTGTAATCGTATGGTTTTCGCATGGGGATCTCATGGTTGCCGAGTGGTTTTCGTATGGTAATCGCATGGTGTTCGTGTGGTTTTCGCATGGTAATCTTATGGTTCTCGTATGGTCATGTAGTGGTGTCCGTATTGTTTCCGAATGGTAATTTGATGGTTTTCGTGTGGTTTTCGCAAGTTAGTCTTATTGTTTTCGTCTGGTCACCTTTCGGTTTTCGTATGGTAACCTTATGGTGCTCGCAGGGTAACCGTATGGTTCTCGTATGGTTGGCTGATGGTCTTCGTATGGTAGCCCTCTATGGTTTTCGTATGGTAGCCGTACGGTTTTCGTATGGTTTTTGCATGGACATCCTATGGTTTTCGCATGGTCATCGTTTTTTTTTTTTTTTTTGTTTTTCCCAACCATCCTGTGGTGTTGGGTCCTCGTTTTGAAGAGACGGTGCCCCGCGTTTCTCCTCCTCCTCGCCCTCCTCCCTCTTAGGCTCTTAGGGTTCGCATGCCTCCCCACCACCCATTTCGGCACACCCCTCACACGTTTCGTGGCCCCATAGGGAGCTCCACCGAAGGCCCCAGTGGGGGTGTTCGCATGCGGTTCCCCCACCCAGGGCAACGTTTCGTGGCCCCATAGGGAGCTCCACCGAAGGCCCCAGTGGGGGTGTTCGCATGCGGTTCCCCCACCCAGGGCAGCGTTTCGTGGCCCCATAGGGAGCTCCACCGAAGGCCCCAGTGGGGGTGTTCGCATGCGGTTCCCCCACCCAGGGCAGCGTTTCGTAGCCCCATAGGGAGCTCCACCGAAGGCCCCAGTGGGGGTGTTCGCATGCGGTTCCCCCACCCAGGGCAGCGTTTCGTGGCCCCATAGGGAGCTCCACCGAAGGCCCCAGTGGGGGTGTTCGCATGCGGTTCCCCCACCCAGGGCAGCGTTTCGTAGCCCCATAGGGAGCTCCACCGAAGGCCCCAGTGGGGGTGTTCGCATGCGGTTCCCCCACCCAGGGCAGCGTTTCGTGGCCCCATAGGGAGCTCCACCGAAGGCCCCAGTGGGGGTGTTCGCATGCGGTTCCCCACCCAGGGCAGCGTTTCGTAGCCCCATAGGGAGCTCCACCGAAGGCCCCAGTGGGGGTGTTCGCATGCGGTTCCCCCACCCAGGGCAGCGTTTCGTGGCCCCATAGGGAGCTCCACCGAAGGCCCCAGCGGGGGTGTTCGCATGCGGTTCCCCCACCCAGGGCAGCGTTTCGTAGCCCCATAGGGAGCTCCACCGAAGGCCCCAGTGGGGGTGTCCACATGCGGTTCCCCCACCCAGGGCAGCGTTTCGTGGCCCCATAGGGAGCTCCACCGAAGGCCCCAGTGGGGGTGTTCGCATGCGGTTCCCCCACCCAGGGCAGCGTTTCGTGGCCCCATAGGGAGCTCCACCGAAGGCCCCAGTGGGGGTGTTCGCATGCGGTTCCCCCACCCAGGGCAGCGTTCGTAGCCCCATAGGGAGCTCCACCGAAGGCCCCAGTGGGGGTGTTCGCATGCGGTTCCCCCACCCAGGGCAGCGTTTCGTGGCCCCATAGGGAGCTCCACCGAAGGCCCCAGTGGGGGTGTTCGCATGCGGTTCCCCCACCCAGGGCAGCGCTTCGTAGCCCCATAGGGAGCTCCACCGAAGGCCCCAGTGGGGGTGTTCGCATGCGGTTCCCCCACCCAGGGCAGCGTTTCGTGGCCCCATAGGGAGCTCCACCGAAGGCCCCAGTGGGGGTGTTCGCATGCGGTTCCCCCACCCAGGGCAGCGTTTCGTAGCCCCATAGGGAGCTCCACCGAAGGCCCCAGTGGGGGTGTTCGCATGCGGTTCCCCCACCCAGGGCAGCGTTTCGTGGCCCCATAGGGAGCTCCACCGAAGGCCCCAGTGGGGGTGTCCACATGCGGTTCCCCCACCCAGGGCAGCGTTTCGTGGCCCCATAGGGAGCTCCACCGAAGGCCCCAGTGGGGGTGTCCACATGCGGTTCCCCCACCCAGGGCAGCGTTTCGTGGCCCCATAGGGAGCTCCACCGAAGGCCCCAGTGGGGGTGTCCACATGCGGTTCCCCCACCCAGGGCAGCGTTTCGTGGCCCCATAGGGAGCTCCACCGAAGGCCCCAGTGGGGGTGTTCGCATGCGGTTCCCCCACCCAGGGCAGCGTTTCGTAGCCCCATAGGGAGCTCCACCGAAGGCCCCAGTGGGGGTGTTCGCATGCGGTTCCCCCACCCAGGGCAGCGTTTCGTGGCCCCATAGGGAGCTCCACCGAAGGCCCCAGTGGGGGTGTTCGCATGCGGTTCCCCCACCCAGGGCAGCGTTTCGTGGCCCCATAGGGAGCTCCACCGAAGGCCCCAGTGGGGGTGTTCGCATGCGGTTCCCCCACCCAGGGCAGCGTTTCGTGGCCCCATAGGGAGCTCCACCGAAGGCCCCAGTGGGGGTGTTCGCATGCGGTTCCCCCACCCAGGGCAGCGTTTCGTGCCCCATAGGGAGCTCCACCGAAGGCCCCAGTGGGGGTGTTCGCATGCGGTTCCCCCACCCAGGGCAGCGTTTCGTGGCCCCATAGGGAGCTCCACCGAAGGCCCCAGTGGGGGTGTCCACATGCGGTTCCCCCACCCAGGGCAGCGTTTCGTGGCCCCATGGGGAGCTCCACCGAAAGCCACCGTGGCGCAGTTCGCATGCGCTTCCCCCACCCAGGGCAGCGTTTCGTGGCACCATAGGGAGCTCCACCGAAGGCCCCAGTGGCGCAGTTCGCATGCGGTTCCCCCACCCAGGGCAGCGTTTCGTAGCCCCATAGGGAGCTCCACCGAAGGCCCGCCCCGGTGGCGCAGTCCGCATGCGGTTCCCCCATCCAAGGCAGCGCTTCGTGGCCCCATATGGAGCCCCACCGAAAACGGCACCCACGACGCGTTACCAACAATTGCTTATGGTTGGGTCTTTCGCCAAGATAATTTTTGTTCCCCCCCCCCCCCCGCATGGTTTTCGTATGGTTTTCGTATGACACTCTTATGGTGTTCGTATGGTCTTCGTTTGGTAATCTCATGGTTTGCGCATCTACTACTACTACTACTACTACTACTACTACTACTACTACTACTACTACTACGACTACTACTACTACTACGACTACTACTACTACTACTACTACTACTACTACTACTACTACTACTACTATTACTGCCACTACTACTACGACTACGACTACGACCACTACTACTACTACTACTACCACTACTACTACTACTACTACTACTACTACTACTACTACTACTACTACTACTACTACTACTGCTACTGCTGCTACTACTACTACTGTGACGACGACGGCTACTACTACTAGTACGACTACTACTACTACTACGACTACGACTGCTACAATTACGACGACGACGACGACTGCTACTACTACTACTACTACTACCACTACTCCTACTGCTACTACTACTGCTACTACTACTACGACGACTACTACTACTACTCCTGTTACTACTGCTACTACTACTGCTACTACTACTACTGCTACTAGTACTACTACTACTACTGCTACTACTACTACTACTACCACTACTGCTATTATTCCTACTACTACTATTACTACTACTAGTACTACTACTACTACTGCTACTGCTACTGCTACTGCTACTACTACTACTACTACTACTACTACTACTACTACTATTACTACTACTACTACTACTACTACTACTACTACTACTACTACTACTACTACTACTACTACTATTACTACTAGGGCTGATATTACTCTGGCTGCCCCACACATTCCTTGGACAAAAAGGACGGGCAGGCTGTGGGGATCCTGAGGGGGGAACCGCCGCGCCCAGAAAATACGCCATTGCTATACGAAAACCATACTAAAACCATTAGGTTACCATGCGAAAACCATAAGAACACCATGCGGCTACCATGCGAAAGCCATAATGTTACCACGCGAAAAGCCATGCGACCACCAAGCGGAAACCATAAAGTTACCATGCGAAACCCTATGCAAGCCATAGGGTTGCCATACGATAGCCATGCGAAAACCATACGACCACCATGCGAAAACCATACGGTTACCTAGGAGTAGTAGTAGTAGTAGTAGTAGTAGTA